TCAGTCAGAGACTTGTCACAGGTCTCCCACGCACCTTCCCGTCGCTCCCTCTCTCGCTTGCCCCTCCTTGCTCTCCGTGCGTCGCCGGTCGCTTACGTGCCACTCCCCACTCCTCCTCCCTTCGTCCGGCCACCGCTCCCTTCGAGACTCTCCACTTGGACGTCTGGGGCCCTGCCCCGACGCAGGGGTCTGGGAGGGAGCGCTACTTTCTGGTGGTCGTCGACGACTTCTCCAGGTACACCACAGTGTTCCCTCTTGCGAAGAAGTCCGAGGTGACTGCTACGCTGATCAGGTGGCTTCTAGCCACTGAGGGCACTCGTGGTCGTCGAGTCAGTTGTCTCCACTCCGACCGTGGGGGCGAGTTTCGCTCCGGCATTCTCGGCGGATTCTGCGGCGAACAAGGCATCACCCAGTCCTGGACGCTGCCAGAGTCCCCACAGCAGAATGGGGTTGCTGAGCGCCGCATAGGCTTGGTCATGGACATCGCCCGCACGTCCATGATCCATGCCCGTGCGCCCCATTTTCTGTGGCCCCACGCGGTTCGCTACGCCGCACACCAGCTGAACCTCCAGCCGCGTGTCTCGCGGCCCGAGGTTTCACCGACCAGTCTTTGGACTGGTTCCCCTGGTGTCGGGTCGGCCTTTCGAGTCTGGGGCTGCCTTGCGCTTGTTCGCGACACCTCCGCGGACAAGCTCTCGGCACGCGCCGTCCCCTGTGTCTTCCTTGGTTTCCCAGTGGACTCTGCCGACTGGTCCTTTTACCACCCTCCCCTCCACCAGTTCCTAGACTCCCGTGACGTCCGGTTTGACGAGTCCGTGTCCTACTACACCCGGTACCCCTGTCGAGGTCTCCCGGTACCCCCTCCCCCTCTTTTCCTCGCACCCTCTCCTCCTCCTGCTCCCGCTCCTCCGGTACCCCCGCCCCCCCCTGGTCCTACCCCGTCTGGTGTGTCCCACGTTACCCCTCTACCCTCGGTCGCGCGTCAGGTAGCGTCTCCCTCCCCGCAGTCCTCTTCACAGTCCCCTCAGCAGCCTTCGGCACTTCCGCGACAGGTTGCTGTGGACCCGGTTGGTGTTGGAGCTGGAGGTGCAGCCGCTGGCGGTGCTCGGTCCGGGGGTGCTCGGTCGCGGGGTGCTGGAGCTGGAGGTGCTGGCGCAGGTGGCGCTAGCTCTGGGGGTGCTGGAGCTGGAGGTGCTGGCGCAGGTGGCGCTAGCTCTGGGGGTGCTGGAGCCGGAGGTGCTGGCACTGGAGGTGCTAGTTCTGGGGGTGCTGGAGTTGGAGGTGCTGGCACTGGCGGTGCTAGTTCTGGGGGTGCTGGAGTTGGAGGTCCTGGCACTGGAGGTGCTGGTTCTGGGGGTGCTGAGTCTGAGGAGGCCGACGCTGGAGACCCTGGTTCTGCGGAGTCCACTCCGCCTCCCCACCGCCACGACACGCGTCTCCAGGCTGCCCGTCGGCGTGAGCGTGAGGAGCAGGAGCGGTTGGAGAGGGAGCGGCAGGAGCTGCGGGTGCTGGACCTTCTGGAGCAGCAGCGGTAGCAGCAGCAGCAGCAGCAGCAGCAGCAGCAGCAGCAGCAGCAGCAGCAGCAGCAGCAGCCGCAGCCGCAGCCGCAGCCGCCACCGCAGCTTCCTCTGGAGCGGCGGTTGTTCCCACCTGTGAGTGGCCTGCGGGCCCTTGGCCTTTCCTCCTCTCCTCCTGTCCGCTCCCAGTCTCCTCCTGTGTTTGTCCCTCCGTTGCCTCCTCCTGACGACCGTCCGGCGGTCTGGTCTTCTCCTCCTCTTCAGTCTCCTCCTCCTTCTGTCCGTCACGACTTGATCACTCGTTGTCCTCCGCGTGCTCGTCACTCGTCCCCTGTTACTGACCTTCACACAGCCCTCCTTTGTTCGTCTCCTCGTCGTTCTCCTGTGTCCGTTCTCCCGTCTCCTCCTCCGTCCTCTCTCCCAGCCCTCCCCACTCCTATCTCTGACTACTACCGCGCTGTTCGTCCAGTTGCCGCACGTGTCCTAGCCACTCTTGTCACCGACTCTCGTTTCCCTCCGTCGTCTGTCTCGGCTCTTACTGCCGCTGTCGCTGAGTTTGCTGCCGCCAGCCGCCTTGACTACGCCACCCGTGTGGTGCCAGCTCCTCCCTACCGTCCTCTGTCCGTCGGGGGTGGGTTTGCCCTTGGCTGTGACGTCCTAGAGGACAGAGAGTCTGAGCTGGAGTACTGGGCAGCCGCTTCTCCCTCTGTGTGTGCCATGCTGCTCTCCCCTGAGGGAGACCCCGACGCCCTTGACATACCGACTCCTCGCACTTACCGCGAGGCAGTGTCAGGGGCGTGGGCCTCTCAGTGGAAAGCGGCTATGGACTCAGAGTTGGCGTCTTGGAGATCCACAGGCACCTACGTCGACGCAGTTCCCCCTCCCAGGGCGAACGTAGTCGATGGCATGTGGCTCTTCAAGGTGAAGCGGCCGCCTGGAGCACCGCCGGTGTTCAAGGCGCGCTACGTGGCTAGGGGCTTCAGTCAGCGTGAGGGAGTTGACTTCTTCCAGACCTTTGCCCCGACCCCGAAGATGACTACTCTTCGGGTGTTACTCCACATAGCAGCGCAGCGAGACTACGAGCTGCACTCCCTCGACTTCTCCACTGCGTTCCTCCAGGGCCGACTGCACGAGGAGATCTGGCTGCGCCGTCCTCCTGGCTTAACTGACACCTTCCCACCTGGGACCCAGTGGAGCCTGAGGCGACCAGTCTACGGTCTCCGCCAGTCGCCCCGTGAGTGGCACGACACTCTTCGCTCCACGCTTCGTGACCTTGGGTTCAGCCCGTCCTCCGCCGACCCGTCGCTGTTTGTTCGAGCGGGTTCTACTCCTTTCTTTATCCTTGTCTACGTCGACGACTTGGTGTTTGCTACAGCAGACAGGGCAGCCCTGGCTCAGGTGAAGTCCGAACTGCAGAAGAGACACAAGTGCACTGACCTGGGTGAGCTGCAGCGTTACCTTGGCTTGCAGATCACCCGGGACAGAGCCGCTCGCACCATCACACTGACGCAGTCACACATGGTGCAGCAGGTCCTTCGGCGGTTCGACTTCCAGTTCTCCACCACACAGCCCACTCCTCTTGCTGTTGACCACAGACTCACGGGCCCCTTTCCCGACGAGCCCTTTGAGTCCAGTGGACCCTACGCAGAGCTGGTGGGCTGCCTCATGTACCTGATGACTTGTACTCGACCGGACCTCGCCTTTCCCCTCAGCGTCCTCTCTCGCTTTGTTGCGACTGGGAGACACCGCCCTGTCCACTTGACAGCTGCTGTGAGGGTGGCGAAGTACCTGGCGACTACATCAGGCATGGGGCTTGTGCTTGGAGGGACTCAGCCAGTGGCGTTGACTGGTCACTGTGACTCTTCCTACGCTGACGACGTGGAGACTCAGCGCTCGACTCAGGGTTACTGCTTCAGTCTGGGAGCTGGTGCTGTGTCGTGGAGGTCTACACGGTCGTCGTCTGTGGCTACTTCCAGTGCAGAGGCAGAGATCTACGCGGGTGCCATGGCGGCACAGGAGCTTCGCTGGTTGACCTTCTTGCTCGCCGACCTTGGTGAGCGGCCTCGCTCTGCACCGACCTTGTACGCTGACAACAAGACCATGATCCTCCTGTGTCGAGAGCCTCGACTGGAGAGCAGAGTGAAGCATATTGACGTGAGGTACTTCCTCCTGCGAGAGCTGCAGCGACGCGGTCAGGCACGCCTGGACTTTGTGGCCTCAGAGGCCAACACTGCAGACGTCTTCACCAAGGCCTTGGCGCTTGGTGACCACCACAGGTTCTGTGTGCAGTTGGGGCTTGTTGAGGTAGGCCCTCGATTGCTGTAGTCCTGTTGCTTGCTCTGCTTGTTGTGCTTTGTATTTATATCCTAGTGAACTCTTGAACTGGCCTTGTGGCCGCTTGCTTGCGCTCGGAATTTGTGTGGTGTCCTTGAGATCCACCCTGAGCTTGCCTTGGTTCTTGCTTTGACTGGTCTTGTGACCGTTTGTTCACCTTGCTTGCTTTGATGCCCCTCACTTAGCCTATGGGGGTGTGTCAAATGTTGAACATTGATATGATAGGCTGTAGTGAGTTGCACTCTAGGGGGTACAGCTTCTAGGGTTGCTCATTTGTACCCCATTCGTTTCTATTCCAAGACATTCCGTTGCTAACCACTCTTGAGATAATGACACATTCGTAATAAATATTTTGTGATGGCCAACATGGTAGAGTTTCATGCCAGTAAAATACGTTGTTCGAAGTATGCGACAGATATGGTAGGTGGAACATAAATTATTGGGAAAGAAGACATAGATATCAAAGCTGTTTAGAGAAGGCACCCCTGGCAAATCTGCATCTACTACCGGTATGTTTATTCAACTACACGTCTCGCAGTACACTTAAACTACACAGGTCTAGCAGCACCTGCGGCAACTACCGGTCCGGTAGAATGGTGTCTGCAAGACAAAGAATGATGGAGCGGGAGAGCATGCGACAGCCAGCTAGCCCCTTGATGGATCCTGGTTCTCTCCCAAGCTGCCCTTGAGAATTCTCAAAAGCGACTGTCAGTCGGCCCCTGGGATCTTCAACCTCTCACCACACCTCAGCGCTCCTCAAAGTATCTTGTACAGTTAGAGATATCTTCCGCCAGGTGTTGTAGAAGGTAGGTGACTCACTTTCCCTGGCCAGCTGCATCCCCTGTCAACCACCCCCAATCTCCCCTTCCCCTCACCCTCCCCCCCCTCCACCTCTTCCCCCTCCTCGTTCTCTGCCCCTCTGCCCGCCTTACAGCCCGCTGCCCGCTGCCTCCGTTGTACCAACCCTTTCACTTGCTGCACTCCCTTCACTCATCCCACTCCTCCTTACGTGCTTCCTGCGTCAATCACTCACAAGTCACATGGCTACCTCAGTAAGCAAGATATCCTTCACAGAGGACCAACCCTGGCAGCGCACTGTTCCCACTGCTGAAGTGACTTCTGAGTCCACTCACAAGCGGCTCACACAAGTCACAGAGGCTCAAAGTGGCGCCTCCTCGCCTCCTCGCCCGCGAAGCTCTCCTTCACAGAGGACCAGTCCCTGCCAGCGCGCTGCTCCCTCCACTCCTTATTCACTCGTCTCTCTTCCTCCAACCATCCCACAACTCCCTTGGCTTCCTCCTCTGCAAAGATATCCTTGCCGGAAGAAGACCAGTCACTGGCAGCGTGCATTTGAGGCGCCTTCAAACTCCTGCATTGGAGGCTCACAACTCACTTGGCCTCCTCGCCTGCAAAGATATCATTAACAGAGGACCAGTCCCTGGCAGCGCGTTGCTCCCAGTAACCCCCCACGTACGTCCACGTGTTGTGCGGCCCTGTCTGCTTGAACCACCGCGGATGCCACCCCTCCTCCTTGCTCTCACGCGCCTGCGTGGAACGAGGGATGTGTGTGTGGGGAGCAGGGAGCAGGGAGCAGGGAGTGGGGAGTGGGGAGAGTTGAGTGGGGAGTTGGGAGTGGGAAAGGGAAGTGGGGAAGAGAACCCGGGTTGGGTTGGGTCTATCAAAGGCCCATTCACACACACCCCTTCCGTCCTCAAAAACTTGATTCCTCACAAACACTGCCCTTCTTGAAGGCAGGGTGTGTGTGAATGGTCCACACGCAATCGCAAAGGCGAAGGAGGAAGACAACTTACCACGGTCAGAGCCCCCACACAGCAGCCCCCACACAGCAGCCCCCAATCCCAAAACCGCATTCGGATTAAGATTTATCAGGCATCCCCCCACAACCCAACCCCACACAGCAGTCCCATCTCACTCCCACCTGGCGCTGCCGTGTCTCGAGGCGGATCTTCTCCTCATTGGCGCGGTCAAAGTACCCTTCCTCCAACGCGTTCCCTTCTATGCCTCAGCCCCCCCACCCTCCAACACAACCCCACGCACAGAGAAGCCACTGTTCACCCCCACCCCACCTGTCGCTGCCATGTCTCGAGGCGGATCTTCTCCTCATTGGCGCGGTCAAAGTACCCTTCCTCCAACGCATCCCCTTCCTAGATGTCTCAAACACCCTCCTCCAACACAACCCCACGCACAGAGAAGCCACTGTTCACCCCCACCCCACCCCACCTGGCGCTGCCGTGTCTCGAGTCGGATCTTCTGCGCATTGGCGCGGTCAAAGTACCCTTCCTCCAATGAGCGCTGGTCCGGACGCAGGCGCGAGTCCGTGGGGGGGAGCACGCCCTGGCAGCAAGGAAGCCAGGGGAGGGAGGAGCAGGGAAAAGGCAGGGGAGACAGCGGCGTGAGTGATAAGCTTTTGATGGGTTACAGCGGCTCACTCTTCCAGGGAGGCCCACCGCCTTCCAAGCAGGAGAGCAGGCATCATTTGATGGGGGGGATCACGGTCTGGCAGCAAGAGGAGAGAGGGAAGGCGGGGGGGGATCACTCTGTAATGACCGACTGATCGACCAATTGACTAGTGACTGACTGACCAATCAATTGACTGGCCGACTGATTGACCCACTTACTCGCCTCGCCTCACGTTGAGGTTCGGCGTGATTTTGTTGAGAGCGATGCAGTACAGTGAGAAGGTGTACTTGCATACGAAGAGCAAAAAAGGCGGGAAAGGGGGGCAGGAGGGCGGGTGGAGGGGCATGGGAACAGCTTTTGAGGCGTCTCAGAGCTCACCTTGAGGTCCGGGGTAATCTCGTTGAGAGTGATGCAGTACGGTGTGAAGGTGTACTTGCACGGGAAGGGCGAGGGGGGGGACTTCCGCCACAGCAGGTGCGCGTGCGCCATGAGGTGCTGGTCGTCCTTGGCCGCCTTGCCATGCTCCTTGTGCGACAGGTCCCCCGGCACATAGTGCAACGACTCGTCCCACCGCCCCACCAGCGTCGCCAGCTTCTCTCCTTTCTCGCCCACTGCGTACCCCCGCACCTGAAAGAGTGGAGAAGGGCGGGTGTGGGTTTGGGAGGAAGCGGGAGAGAGGGAGATCGGGTCGCGCTGCATTGGCGTCTCCAGCTTCTCGCCGTTCTCGCCCACCGCATAGCCCGCATAGCCTGGTGAGGGAGAAGGTGGAGCAGTGAGTACACGGTTTGGATTGGAAGAAAGAGAAGGACATAGGGGCCACATACCAGCTTCTCGCACTTCTCAACCACAAGAAGCCCCGCACAAAAAAAAAAAAGCAGCAGTTATCGCAGCGTGGGTTGGTTGGAAACACCATTTCGTTCTCATCTCGGTGTGAGTTGAGAAGCGAAAATGAAAAGGAGAAAAAAATAGAGGGAAGGGACCGACATGGAGCAAAGGAATCATGTTACACAATAATAGGCTTGGGAGCAGATGGACATAGATGGGAGGATACACGGCAGGTGGCGGGGAGGGGAGGGGAGGGGAGGGGAGGAGAGCAGAGGGGAGGGGAAGGGAGGGGAGTGAAGGGGACCTACCTGGTGTGTGCTGCCGTCAAAGAAGGAGTTCTCGTTGAGCTTGAGTCGTGTGGACGCGCCTTGGTTGCTATTGATGAGCGCACATGGGTTCACATGGGGCGCACAGGTGGAGTGGGGCGCAGGTGTGAACTGGGTTACCCACCTGGTGTGTGTCACGGTCGAAGAAGGATCGCTCCTTGAGCTTGAGTCGCACGGAGATGCCTTGTTTGGCTATTCATGACCACACACGGGCGCACACGAGCGCACACGAGCGCACACGAGCGCACACGAGCGCACACGAGCGCACACGGGCGCACACGAGCGCACATGGGCGCACATGGGGGCACATGGGGGCACATGGGGGCACATGGGGGCAGCACCTATGGCGGGAGGAGAAGAGCAAAACGGAGAGGGGGTTACCCACCTGGTGTGTGTCGCGGTCAAAGAAGGATCGCTCCTTGAGCTTGAGTCGCACTGAGATGCCTCGGTTGCTGTTGATGCGCATGGTGCCGTAGTGGTCTACGTACAGCTTGCCTATGATCAGATTGTAGATGCCCGTTGTCACCTGTGGGTTGGGTACGAGGGCAGGAGCATGGCAGAGGAGGAGAGAGAAGGCATGGTGCGACCGGGATGTTGATGCGCATGGTGCCGTAATGGTCCACGTACAGCTTGCCGATAATCAGATTGTAGATGCCTGTTGTCACCTGCGCGTGACATATTGAAGGGTACGATGGGAGCAACGAGAGGAGGACTTGGTGAGAGACCACGCATGGTGCCGTAGTGGTCGATGTATAGCTTGCCTATGATCAGATTATAGATGCCCGTTGTCACCTGCTTGCATTGGGTATGGGCGCAGGAGCACGGCAGGGCAAGAAAAAGTAGGCATGGTGCGACCGGGATGTTGATGCGCATGGTTAGCATCGCATAGCTTGCCATGATCGGGTTGTATGTAGATGTCGGTTCGGTTGTCACCTGTGCGTTGCACCGCCTTTTGAGGCGCCTCAAAAGGCATAGCTTGCCATGATCAGGTTGTAGATATGTCGGTTCGGTTGTCACCTGTGTGCGTTGCACTGCACCGCCACGGACAGCACCCCCAGCAGCTCCTCCGGCTGCACGGGGGACCTTATCTAACAGCGCAGAGCACCATACATACCCCAGCATACCGCATCCCACCGCACGGCACCGCACCTTGTTCCACTCGAACACCTCTCCATCGTCAAACGCCACGGACAGCACTCACAGCGGCTCGAGCTGCATGGAGGATGGAGAAGCTTACTCCATGCATAGGGCACCATGCATACCACTAGCACACACCCTACATACCCCACCACACCGCATCCCACCGCACCTTGTTCCACTCGAACACCTCCCCGTCGTCAAACGCCACGGACAGCACCCCCAGCGGCTCCAGCTGCATTGACGGCCCCCAGAAGCGGATCCGGATGTTGCAGTCCCCCCAGAACCGCCACCCCCGCCCCTCGCAGTGCGCTGCCACTATGGGCGGGTGGTGCACCACCTGGTGTAGGGAGACGGGGAAGGGGGAGACGAAGGGACGAAGGATGGGGGTGAGCGGAGGAAGAGCAGTGAGTGGGTCGAATAGGTTCCCCCAGAACCGCCACCCCCGCCCCTCACAGTGCGCTGCCACTATGGGCGGATGGTGCACCACCTGGTGTAGGGAGATCAGGAAGGGGAAGATGAAGGGGTGAAGGGGACGAGGAGAAGAAGAGCAACGGGTGGGCCTAAGAACCGCCAGCCCTGACCTTCAGGCAAGGAGGTGGGTCACTGAGGTCGCCAAAGGATCGCCAGGCCTGCCCCTTGCAGTGTGCTGTAACCCACCCAATCCCTGAGCTTTTGTCAGGAAAGATAACACCGAAACCCGAACCAACAGCTTGAAACCCCGAACCGAACCCACAACTCTAGACCTGAAACCCTGAACCCGTGGCACCTTTTTAAAGATAAACCGGAAGCCCTTCTCGGGAAAGTCTGCCTCATAGGTCAGACTGAATTCAGTAACCCTAACCCAAATCCCTACGCCTTTGTCAAGAGTCGGAAACTCTAGACCCGGAACCCTAAACCCGTAACACACCTTTTCAGAGATGAATCGGAAGCCTTTGTCGGGGAAATCAGCCTCGTAGGTCTCTCCGATGAGCGGATTGAATGGCTTCTGCACTCTGTGCTCCGCACTACCCATGCCCCTCCCTAAACCCTACTTCCGGAACCCGAACCCCTAAACCCGCCACACCTTTTCGGAGATGAATCGGAAGCCCTTGTCGGGGAAATCGGCCTCGTAGGTCTCTCCGATGAGCGGGTTGAATGGCTTCTGCACCCGGTGCTCTGCACTCGCTGCATACGCTGACATGGCAAACGCTGCCACGTGTAGTGCCCGCATCAGATGCTCGCCCTGAGGGGTGTTGGGGGGAGGGAGAAACGGGGAAGCGGGGACGGGGGAGGGTAGGAGGAGAAAGGGGAAGGGTAGCAGTAAGCGGAAGGGGAAGGGAAGAGAAGAGTTGATTGAAAGGCGTCTGCACTCAGGTGGCTTGCTGCGATCGAATTCGCCGCTTAACAGCTGCTCCATGCTGTATGTATGCACACGCTGACTGACACTACAAACAGCGCCATGAGTAGTGTAGTGCCTTCATCAGATGCTCGCCTGAGGGGGGATGGTGAGCAGGGGAACCGGGAACAAGGGGGGCCCTTGAGAGGAACCTAGAGAGTAGATGCTGCCACGTGCAGCGCCCAGATCAGATGCTCGCCCTGGGGGAATGAAGAGTGCGGGGTCCATTTGTTTTTCTGTTATGTGTGGCTGCAAGCCTAGTTCAAACACTTGGAGAACATATGGACCTTCCAGTTCGAAGTGTGCTTGCCCCATCCCATCCCACCCAACCCCACCTCACCTCACCCCATCCATCCCACCCCACCCCATCCCTCCACTCACCCGGCGGCCATACTCAGCAGCGCGGTCAAGCAGCCAGCTATACTCCATCTCCTCGCAGCACTTCTGCAGCGTGCTAATCGGCTCATTAAAGTACACCGGCAGACATATCTTCGACATATCCTTCCCCACACAGTCCCTTATTATATTCCACAGCCCCACCGCCTTCTCCTCTTCAGCAGGCTCTGGCAACCTCTCCCGCCGCGGCACGTACGGATACGTGAACCCCACTTTCTCCATGTCCAGACTTGACAGGCTCGACAGGGATCGCTCGGAGGACCCGCCGGGCGGGGAGGAGAGGGAGGACAGGGAGAGGGAGAGGGACGCCATCTCCTCCCAGCGGCGTGAGCCCACGAATTCGTCCATGGCTTCAAAGAACTCGTCCTCGCCTGCCTGCGTGCTGCTGTGGTCGTCGTCGCCCTCGTCCTCCCCCTCCTCCTCTCCCTCCTCCTCACTCTCCTCCTCGTCCTCGTCCCCTTCCTCGTCCTCCCGGTTGTTGTCTGTGATGGGGAGCAGCACGGGCGCCCCTTTGTCAGTGTCAGCGGCTGCTGTGGTGGTGGCTGTTTCGCTCTGCTCGTCCCCGTCTGGTGGGTGGGGGAGGGAGGGTGGGGGAGAAAAGGTGGGGGGCGAGTGGAAGAGGGAGAGTGGGTGGGGGGTGAGTGGGTGGGGGAGAGTGGGTGGGGGGGAGTGGGTGGGGGGTGAGTGGGGTGCAGCAAGTAGCGGTCGGGAAGAGGGAAGGGAAGGAGCAAGGATGGATAGAAGAACTCAGAGGAGGATTACAGAAGGAGTGACAGAGGGCAGGTGGCACATGCAGAGGGATGAGATGGGATGAGGGCAGGGGCATGCATGATAAAGGATGTGGTGAGTGGGACGTGGCGTATTGCAAAGTGGTGTAGTGTATTGCGGTGCATTGCAATGTGGTGCATTGCTACAGTGCGCTGTACTGTAGCTGCTCTCTTACCTCGAATGTGATGCATTGGCTCTTCCACTCCACCTCTGCTTATTTTGAGCGGACTCAAAACTCGTCTTACCTCGAATGTGATGCATTGACTCTTCCACCACTGCAGATTCTAGCTCCACCTTATCCGCCTGTGCAGGGAGGGAGGGAACAAACAACCACATGTGTACACACATGCGGATCAAATAGACGCAACGCAAACACAGACACACCCACATTAAGATGGCTAAATGCGTATTCTACAACAATGACGAGGCAAGCAGATGCGCGCGCCAACATTCCACAACTATAACCCCCATCACCATTCCCCTTGTTTTCCCACCCAACCCCGTCCCACACACAACCAAACACACACACATCCACACCCACCCCCAAACACACCCACCCATCCACACACCCCTGCACACACACACACACACACACACACACACATCCAAACACACACACACCCACACACCCACACATCCACACACCCACCCAAACACACACACACACACCCACACACTCACACTCACACACACACCCACCCAAACACCCACACACCCACACACTCACACTCACACTCACACACACACACACACACACACACACACCCTCTCCCACCCCTCCCCCTCTCTCTCCCCCCTCCCCCCGGCCCCCCCAACACACACCCAACCCCACCGACCCACCTCCAGTTGACTAATCCTTTCGTGCAGCATCTGCCGTCTCTCCTGCTCCTCTCTTAGCCGCAGCTGCAGGCGCTGCAGCACCTCGCGCCGCACCACCTCCTCGCACTCCTTGATCACCTCCGCGCTGACGTCTGCCCGCGCCAGGCACGCGCGCAGGGGCTCTAGACTCACGTCTGCCACGAACGTGGCCTGCTCAGCCTCCCTCTGGCTGCGCCCCGTGCGCTCCTTGGCCGCCTGACGTGGGGAGCAGGGAATGGGGGAGGGAAAGGAGGGGGGGGGAGAGGAGAGTACGGGCGTTGGAGGTGGTTCAATGTGGCCTGCTCGGCCTCCCGCTGGCTGCGCCCCGTGCGCTCCTTGGCGGCCTGAAAGGGAGTGTGGGGGGGGAGGAGTAGGGGGGGAGGAAGGAGGGGAAGGACATTCGAGGGGGTTCACAGGGTTATGCCCCTCTGCCTCCCTCTGGCTGCGCCCCATGCGGTTCTTGGCGGCCTGAAGGGGGGTGTGAAAAAAAAAGAAAGGGGGGAAGGACATTGGAGGGGTTGAAGAAGGACAGGCGAAGGAAGTGGGGGGGGGTTGGGTGGAGGGGATGGAAGGAGGGGGGGCAGATCAAGAACCACAAGAGCAGGACCCGGGAGGAGGGGGGAGGAGAAGCAGGGGCGCAGAGAAGGCACGAAAGCGGACACGTACGAGGAGGGAGGAGCACAGGATCCATGGGGGGCAGAGAGAAAGGGAGGGCGGGAGGAGGCGGGAGGGCGGGCACACCTGCAGGAGGTCGAGCCAGAGGCCTCTGTCATCGCGGGACTCTGCTCTCAGGTCGAGAGTCTTGGTCCCGCTGAACACGTAGAACTTCCTCTCGTCCGACTGGCTCTCCCGTAGCGATGACACCTGTGGGTGCGGGGAAGAAAGGGAGGTGTGGGGGAGCGCGAGGGGCCACAGGGTTAGGGAGTGGGGGGGGGGGACGAGAGAGGGGGAGTGGGGAGGAAGATTTGAAGGGGGGGGGAGAATTGGGAAGAAAGGGAGTGAGGGGGAGAGAATAGGGGGGAAGGGAGTGAGGGTGAAAGGAAGGAGTGAGGAGGCAGGAAAAGTGGAAAGCGGGCGATTAGAGGAAGTGGGGAAGAGAGGGAGTGAGGGAGCATGTGGTAGTGAAATGGTCAGGGAGGTGAGGGTGAAAGATGGGAGGGGAGGGTGAAAGATGGGAGGGGAGGGTGAAAGATGGGAGGGGAGGGTGAGAAATGGGTCTCACTGACAGATGCATCTCCCCATACACCCGGCACAGCACACATGCATGCACTCACTGATACTCGAGGATTCTAACAACTTCTCATGCACTCTGCACATCAGTCTTGCACTCAACTCACCGATAGATGTATCTCCCCATACACTCTGCACAGCGGCCGTGTGTTTGCATGTGAAGCTGCGGCCTTGCCTCCTCCTCCTCCTGCCCCTCCTGCTCCTCCTCCTGCTCCGCCTGTTGTCGTTGCTCCTGTGCCTCCTGCCCGCGCTGTAGCCGCAGCTCCAGCCCCAGGGGTTGAAGGCGCAGAGGACACAGAATTAGAACCAGCCGCCGCCGCAGCTGATGCTGTACCAGCAGCAGTATCACCACCAGCAGAAGCAGCAGCAGCAGCACCAGCAGCAGCACCAGCAGCAGCAGCAGCAGGTGTAACAGCAGCGGCAGCAGCAGAGGGAGCAGTCTGAGCAGCAGCACTCGAACCAGAGACGGCAGGGGAGAATGCAGACGCAGTAGCCGAGGAAATCGCCGAGGGCACACTTAGCACCGTAGCCGCTGCCGCTGCCGCACTCGCAGCCGCACTGCTTGCTGCAGCAGCAGCAGCAGTGGCAGCAGTGGCAGCAGCTGCTGCTGCAGCAGAGGCGACGCCAATGGCAGCAGCAGAGGCGGTATGCGCTGCACTAGGAGCAGGCCGTTCCGGGACTGGTTGCTGTCCCCCAACTGGCGCCGACGCCCTCTCTTTCTCCCTCTCCCTCTCCCTCTCCCGCTCCCGATCCCGGTCTTTCTGCTTCTCCTTCTCGCCGCCCTTGTCTCCTCTCTCTCCCGCTCTCCCCCGCTGTCGCTCCTGCTCCTTGCGCAACAGTCGCTTGACCTCATCCCCCACGAGGCATGCGCCAGGGCGCCGCTGGACCTCCAGCAGCACGCTCGCCCGGTGGGGGCCCTCTATCTTGCAGTACGACAGCACGCCCTGGGAGAGGGGGGGGACGGGAGAGGGGAATTGGGGAGAGGGGCGAGGGGCGAGGGGCGAGGGGCAGGGGGGGAGAGGGAGAGGGAAAAGCGGGGGGGGCGAATGGTGGGGTGAGAGAGGGGAGGGAAGCGGGAGAGGGGCGAGGGGCGAGGAAAGAGGGGAGGGGGGAACGTGGTTTGGAGAGCAACGACGTTGCGTTGAGAATCCAAGGATTAACTGAAGCCACGTCCTGTGCTGTTCACAGGTCTTAAAACAGATACACGCACATCGTCTTGGAAACAGCAACACGGGGCTTCAGGGTAGAACTATCCGGGAAGAATTATCCAGTCTTCAGGGCTTCCCATCAAGGATTATAATTTCTGCCTGCTGCACGCGGAGGATTCGGCCTCTAAAGGTAAACGGTCTCACCTTATCGAGGATGAAGAGCCTGGGAGCCCAGCCTCGACCCAGGTGCACCCATTTCGACAGCACACCAATCGCCACGTCTGGTAACTCCTCCCCCAACCCCGCTCCCCGCGCTCCCCCTGCCCCCGCGCCATCCCCTCCCCCTCCCCCCTTCAACCCCCCTCCGCCTGACACGCCCATCCCACCGGCCGCGCCTCCCCCCGCCAGTCCGCTGGCGCTTGCGCTCGTAACGGCTCCGTCGCTTCCGCCGCCGCCGCCAAGCGCGCTCTTCTGCCCGGGCTGCGCGGAGCTGTCCGCCGCAGCCGCGCCCCGCCTGTCCGGCTCTCCCCCGGCCGTTGCGCTTGCGCTTGCGCTCTTGGGGAACCCGCTGATGGTAAACCCACTCCCCGTCCGGTGCAATCCGCGCGCGTCCGCGTAAACCCCCTTCACTCCCCCTGCGCGGAACCCCCCCGGCGCATCAGTATTAATCCTGCCCTCCGACCGATACACCCCTAGCGCCTCCCCCCCGTCGCTTCCGAACGCGCCTCCCGCCACAGCGCCACCCGCCGCGCCCGCTCCGCCCGCGTCCTTCCCCGCGCGGCGGCGGAAGCCCTTGGCGACCAGGCTGGGGAGCGCGGTGTTCACCAGGCTCACGAACGCCGCCGTGTCGATCCCCATCGCCGACTGCACGAACGCCGCGCCGCCGCCGCCGCCGCTCCCTCCGCCGCCAGTGGCGGTGGACGCGACGTTTCCGCCTGTGAAGCCGCTTCTGTTTCCGCCACTCCCTCCACCTCCATTTCCGCTTCCGCCTCCACCCCCTCGCCCTGCTTCTCCCCCTCCCCGTCCTACTCCCCCTCCTTCTCCTCCGCCTGCCATTCCCGCCACTTCAGCGGCAGCAGTCGCCGTTTCTGGCGCTTCCGGGGGGGAACAAAACCCGGAGCTCCCTAGACTGCCGCTGCCTCGTTCCTTCGGGTTACCCGAGCCGGTCGAGCAGAGACTAGGGCTGGTGGATGCGTCTCGAGAGTTCGACGAAAAGGATTTGCTGGAGGGAAGGATGGGGATAATGGCGGATGGCATGATGCTGGATGGGAAGATGGTCGATCCGAAGGACGGATGGAATAAACGGTCGCTACGTTTCTTGCCGTCCGGTGTTAAGGAGCGGGGATTAGAGACGCCGGCGGGTAGTTGATCGATGTAGTCACCTGATGGTGATAGGCAACGCGATGCGGATTGCTGCTTACTTGAAGGATTTCTTCATTCAAAGCTAGGGTGTACGATTGTGTGTCTCGTTCTTGCGTCTCGTACCCGTCTCCTTACGGTATCTCTTGCTAAATTGCCTCGTTAATGCTCGTACGAACTCGTGTGACTTACTTGCGCCTCTATATACCTATTAAAGTCCCTATTAGTACCTGGTTTCTATAATCAGTTCAATTGACATGAGAATGAGTTCGACGAAAGAACTGGGTCAAGAGCTCTCCCGCATCATACATGCGTATTATGAACAATAAAGAACCAGAACCGGCCCTCCCTGGAACACGAAAGGGCAAGGGAAACTCCGAAATGCCTCCTAGATACCGCCGAGAGTAATAACCCTCACTTCAGACACCCTCTCGGTCTCCAGAAACAAAATTATCGAGACGCTTGGCGAGTTCTAAGCACGTGCCCGCAAACCTATGAGGCGGCGAGAGAATCCCATCAGCGTAGAGGCGTCTACTCAGTGGTAGCAAAAGTACGTGCTGAGTTGCCTTACCAGGGGGAGGGGCGGATGGGCACAATAATGATGGGATGGAATGGGAGAGGAGGCAAGGTGGAGGGGGGGAGGTGTTGTCACGGCGAATTAATTACATAGGAACGATCAACCTTCCCATTGGCTGTTCGGTTCGTCGGTAATCTCTAGGTGTGTGGTACACATGATGCCCGTTTGAGCCACTCCCGGTTGCCTTGTAAAGGGGGCTTATAAGCTGTAACCCGCATTTCGCCTAAATTTCGTCGATTCGCAGCTAGCAAAAAAGGATTCGTCAGGTGCTTATAAATTTTTGGTAACCTATCCGTTGACATTTTGACTTCAGTCTCTTCAGTGTGACTTCGGTCTGTTCGTTACTATTGGTTCATAAACACTGCAACTTGCGCGACGTGCTTGTAACGGGCGTGCAACTGGCTGGGGAAAAAACCTCGGGTACAGGGTTTCCATCCGGTGCAGGGAAAATTCGCGTGCACGGGTTGGGCATCATGTGTACACGGAAATGTGGGGGGGAAAAGCGGAGCCGAGCCCATCAGAGAAGAGGAGGACCCACACCGAGTGGGGGCAGGGATACGTTCGATTAGGCGGCTCGGATCAGTTCGGTTCGGTCGGGTGGTGGTGGGGTGGGGTGGGGGCAGGGAGGGAGGTGTTGTCAGAGTCAGTGCTGCCTTCCTACGTGTCTGCCTTCCCACGAGAATAGATGTTGACGCAAGCCCGAAAAAGGCTCACGATAACAGGGTAGTTTACCTTTGAGTATTCAAAGACCTCCTTTTGTTTTCCGCTGAAGTTTGTCATCCGTGACTCCGTCCATCAGTGTGTCTATCACGGGAGTGGTAGCCCATCGACGCGTGTCCCTGCCAACCGGTGTAGTTACGGAGCATCCATCAGAAAAAGGGGTAATCTGGGAGGTTATCCAGACCAGATTGCTTCAAAGGTTTGCAGGAATGGGGGGAGTAACGGCTGGCTCAGTTGTAGGTTCTGTGAAGGCCCTGAGATTGCGTCATCGTGGGGTTGCTGTTCGTCGCCATTCCATGAAGTTTGTTCTTTCCTGGTCCTCGCTGAATGATATTTCGGACGAAGTGTAGTTCAGAGTTTAAAAATTCAGATAAAACCATATACCGTATGTATCGCTGTCTGAGAGCTCAGACAAACAGAAATACCCCTTCTAGAAAATCAGAGAAACACCAAAAACATGTCTGAGAATCAGGCAATCAGACCGATGTTGTCTGTTGTCAGGGACCCTGGTCACAGGGGTGTGTCAGATTACAATTGTATCTCTAGGCTACAGTAGGGTCACTCCTTAGTGAGTACAACACTTTAGGGTTAGGTTTCCCCTACTTGTACTCACCTCTTGCCTAGTCCAATCCATCATTCCTAGTTGTATTCTTGACATGTTATCAGAGTAGGAACCGTTCCTACATGGGCCCACCGTTCCGCCTAGTGGTAGCGCCACGCCCTACACAGTAGCCAGCGCGCTGGCGCCCCTAGCTCTCACTGTCGCGACCCTTGCAGCCCGTGCGCTGCCCCTGCGACCGCGCTGCCCCTGCAGCCGTGCTCGCCCCTACGACCGTGCTGCCCCTTGCAGCCGTGCTCGCCCCTGCTACCGTGCTGCCCCTGCAGCCGCGCCTGCCCCTGTGGCCCGCGCGCTGCTCCTCCAGCCCGTACGCTGACCCTGCAGCCCATTCACGCTGCCCCTGCAGCCGCGCGTCGCCTCTGCAGCCAGCACGCGCGTCGCCTCTGGAGCCCGCGCGCCGCCTGTGCAGCCCGTCCTCGCGGACCCTGCAGCCCGCGCGTCGCCCCTGGAGCCCGCGCGCCGCCTCTGCAGCCCGTCCTCGCGGACCCTGCAGCCCGCGCGTCGCCCCTGGAGCCCGCGCGCCGCCTCTGCAGCCCGTCCTCGCGGACCCTGCAGCCCGCGCGTCGCCCCTGGAGCCCGCGCGCCGCCTCTGCAGCCCGTCCTCGCGGACCCTGCAGCCCGCGCGTCGCCCCTGGAGCCCGCGCGCCGCCTCTGCAGCCCGTCCTCGCGGACCCTGCAGCCCGCGCGTCGCCCCTGGAGCCCGCGCGCCGCCTCTGCAGCCCGTCCTCGCGGACCCTGCAGCCCGCGCGTCGCCCCTGGAGCCCGCGCGCCGCCTCTGCAGCCCGTCCTCGCGGACCCTGCAGCCCGCGCGTCGCCCCTGGAGCCCGCGCGCCGCCTCTGCAGCCCGTCCTCGCGGACCCTGCAGCCCGCGCGTCGCCCCTGGAGCCCGCGCGCCGCCTCTGCAGCCCGTCCTCGCGGACCCTGCAGCCCGCGCGTCGCCCCTGGAGCCCGCGCGACGCCTCTGCAGCCCGTCCGCGCGGCCCCTGCAGCCCGTACGAGCTGCCTTTGCAGCCAGCGCGGCGCCCCTGCAGCCCGCGCGTCCTGCCCCTGCAACCTGCGCCAGCGCCCTGCCCTGCGCGCGCTGACGCCCTGCCCTGCGCCAGCGCCCTGCCCTGCGCCCGCGCCCTGCCCTGCGCCAGCGCCCTGCTATACCCTAAATATAATTAAATTGTTTATTAAAAAAAAAAAAAAAAAAAAAAGAGGACCCTAGGTGCTTCTGCCCTAGGAGCTACTGCCTACTGCCGCCCTGCTCTGGCCGCGTGCCGCCCTGCTGCTGTTACTACTGCTGCTGCTCCTACTCGTGCTACTGGGAGTGGAGGAGGTGCTGCTGGGAGTGCAGGAGGTGCTGCTGGCGCTGTAGGAGCTGGAGGTGCTGGACCTACTCCTGACCGTCACTGTCTGTCATGGCCACTTCCGCGGCAGTTGCTGCGGCCAGGGGTGGACAGCAGCGGGCACTGCTTCTCCCAGACAACCCCACCCCTCAGCAGCTTCGTGAGTGGGTTATTCAGCGAGGTCGTCCTGGTGGTGGAGGTTATCGTTTTGTTAGGACTGCTGCTCTTGGTGTTAGTGAGTCTGCTGCCGCTCCAGGTGCTAGTGAGTCTGCTGCAGCTCTAGGTGCCCGTGAGTCTACCGACGCTCTAGGTGCTAGTGCGTCTACTACCACAGGTCCTGCCTCAGCTGAGGTCTTGCACACTTTCACGCTTGACTCAGGCGCGTCACGTTGCTTCTTCCGTGATTGCACCACAGTCACACCACTCACAGCACCTGTCCCAGTCTCACTGGCTGACCCCTCTGGGGGCCCAGTGGTTGCGAGAGCCTCCATGGTCCTCCCTTGTCCAGCAGTCCCCTCTGGTTCTTTGTCAGGTCTCCACCTCCCCACGTTCTCGACGAACTTGGTGAGCTACGCTGCCATTCAGGATGTCTGGGTTGATACCTTTATTCCTGGAGGGCAGCGTGTGGCGATCTGTACGTGCTCCCGGACTGGCCGTCACCTGGCTACGTTCACTCGTCAGCCTGGGTCTAGTCTGTACACACTGACCACTGCGTCTGCACAGGTGGCTGAGTCAGGTCAGGTAGCTGCGTCGAGTCGAGCGTCTTCGTCAGGGCAGTTAGCTGCGTCTTGCTCGTGCAGAGTACTCACGCACGAGACTCAGCGCTGGCACCACCGTCTTGGTCACCCCTCCCTGCAGCGTCTGCGCGGCATGCACTCCCGGCTCCTGGTCTCTGGCCTCCCTGAGACCCTGCCCCCCTTCCCGCGCTCACTTGCGCCGCCGTGTCTTCCTTGCGTCGAGGGGCGGCAGCGCGCCGCTCCTCACTCCTCCGAGTTTCCTCCGACCACTGCTCCTCTGCAGACTCTCCACCTGGACGTGTGGGGCCCGGCCCCCGTCGGTGGGACGGACCAGGAGCGCTACTTCCTGCTGGTTGTTGACGACTACACACGCTACACCACAGTCTTCCCCTTGCGTCGCAAGGCGGACGTCAGCGGTGTTTTGATCCCTTGGATCCGTGCTACTCGTCTCCAGCTACACGAGCGCTTTCATCAGGACTTCCCAGTCCTGCGTCTGCACTCTGACAGGGGTGGTG